GAGGTGCTGGTGGGGGTTTCAGGAAGCTGTACTGTACGTTGAGCAAAAATAGCTGCTGGGCTGAAAAAAGCGAATTAGAGTGGTCTGCACTTTAGGTGATCAATCCACCTAGAGGAAGACACATCCACATTCTAACTATCAGTGACTGGAAACGTGAGCAATGAAGAGCAAGATAGCGTTGTAAAAACTATAAAGCCAGGTTCCAGTCGGTAGTGAAAATGCCTGCATTTCTGCTCGTAAACATATGGGCCAGTGCTATCTCATTAGTTTTATGCAATGCCAACATGGCAGATGAGATAGTGTAGTTCATCATCCTCACTTCAAACTCACAGGTCTACAAGGGGTTTTGGAAGTAAAAGGATAACTCGGTGGAATATTTACCCATCACCCCGGATATGTCTCTTGATCCAACACCATTAAACAATGGTCAGCTCTTCATCCCAAAGCCTTCCTCATGTAAATGCAATTTCAATTTTGTTGTACCTCTTGAAAATGAGTGCTGTTGGTGAGAGGGGAGTGGAAACACACATTCTGGGACTGGATGGGGTCCAGCTGGCAAGAACTCACAAAGCCGACACAAGGACAAAGCTCGTGGCTGTGCTGGTATGGCTGTCAAACAGGACAACACATTCCTATTCCAAATAGCCCTTGGCAACATTGTTGAAGCCATGATGACAGCCCATCTGCAATTTATTTACATGTCTTTAAATTTATAACTTATCCTCATGCCCTTGTCATACACTTTGAGCCACAGAAAGAGAGCGGAAAGATCATCTGGCCTGGATACTGTATTACATGTTGTGTTACAGGTCACCTCTAGGGAAACAATAGGACCACTCACAAAAGCGACTTAACTGGAAATAGACCCAGAACTGAATATATTTCATGTGTGTATCCTTTCTGTGGCTTCATATTGTTCATTTATTGACATTCAACACCAGTATGGGCAAATGAGATGCTGGCACAAAGGTGTAAACAGAGCCAATCAACCAGAAAACGAAATGGAGAAGCTTTCGCAGCAGGCAACGCTAGCAATTATTTGATAGTTCAGATCAACTGCAGTTTCTGCAGTGGCTGGTGTGGGAAGTATTCAACCAGCTCGGCCAACAAGCCTGTGCACACTGTGGAAGCTAGAGTCAGTTCAACACACTGTTTCCCCCACAGACATGCACTTTAGTTCAGATTCACCAGCTTAATATGGTTTTATCCACATCATGTTTAGTTTTAATACTTTCCCTCTCTTTGAAGCTTTAGCTGTTTCTTCAATACCATTTTCACAAAAAAGATCTAGACCAAAAGCTTTGCTACTATTCAAAATATGTCAAATACATTACAGGTTTGTCATCTCCTTCACAGGGAGAAAGGCAAAAGTCCTCCTGGGGGGCATCAGAGAGCAGAGATGAATGTGAAAACCCAGATTTCTCATCTCATTTCATCAAAAAACTGTCAAAACCCAAGGTAACGTTGAATTTAATAGACATTTAATGCCTCTAATCAATAATAAATGCTTTCTGGGCATCCTGCAGTGATGGCATTGCATTGAGTTCTTGGTACAACAATGACAGACAAAATTAAACCGTAGATTCCCTGCTGACCACAGCGTACCCCTACTGGCAGTGAAATATGCTGCATTAGGCTTTTTTTGTTGTTTTAAAACTCTGGGGGATACTACACCTCATCATTCTGCACCTCCTCTGAAACATCAGCAGTATTAAGTCCTCTGCTTGTACCCTATGTACTGTCCCAACAAACTCCCTGTAAAAGGCCAAGAACAGCCCGTCATGTATCATATAGATTGTTTTGCTAGTTTGCTTTCAAGAATGCAGCAGCTCAAAACACAGTTTATATCCTCTGACCTTGAGTGGCTGTATCTCCTGACATTTTTTAGGTTTTTTTGGTCAAGAATTAAAACATTTCAGTCCAACTAAAAGTCCACATAAGCCGAAGTGATTTCAAAACTTAGATCACAATCTATTTCTGGCATCTTTCCTTTTTTTTCCAGACAGTTTTAAAATAATTTTGAGATTTCAGTTTTAAATTATGGTTGTTAGACATGGGAGCTGGTTATATCACACGCCTATTAATCCCTTAAAGCCACGTCACACAGAGCATGAATTAGACTGTCTCAGACAAAGACATTGAGATCTGAAACTAATTTCTGATGTCTGCACACACAGCCATCACTGAAATCGGTAAGTTCAGTGGGGCCACTGAGGCAGGTTTTCAGCTTTTTCAGACATCTATTATATTTTAAACATTGTGGAAGTTTTTAGCACAGAATCTACTGCTCTTTTGTATTGTGAGAATGAAAAATGTCAACAACAGTCCAGGTTATGGAACAGTTTTATCTTTACATAAATAAATGTTTCTGTGAGATATCCCAAAGATTTTACAGAACTGTCCCATAAGCAGTACGTGTGTGTCACTCATAAGCCAATTAGAAATATTATGGATTGAAAAGAGTATCTCGATGTGAAAAAAGTCAATTTGAAACTAATGTGGTGAGGCCCCAGGCTCCCATCACTATCCCTAATATTTGACTGGTAATGGAGTAGACCAGTCATCCAATCATAGGTGCCTGTCAGACTGTCAGTCATCATGAGGCAATCAAACAGCTAAATGTCAAAACAAAACTACATGTACAGAGAGGAAAGAGACTAAATGAAGACAAGGAACGAGACAATAATGAAGACACAAAAGCATGAATAAAAGGCAGGCTTTGTGCCAAAGCAAAATACTGTATAAAGTGTGTAAAAACGTATATAGAGTTCTTAAATCATGGTTTTCAAAAACAAATGCATAGCTGATTAAAGAGCTTTGGTATTACTGTGTTTAGTTCTGCCTGGGGGACCCAAAGAGACAAGGCGCAGCTCTGCAGGAGGGAGAATCAAAATCCCTAACAACCAAATCCAAGTCAAGAATCTTTTAATGTCTGAGCCTCTTCTCTGTGCCTCAGCCGTTCAGATGCCACACCACAACTAAGACAAGAAACTACAGCAAAGGAGTTGTTTATTGTAAGCAGCACAGAGATCTCAGGCCTTTGATTTATGAGCCAGAACACTCTCATATTCTCACACTCAGACCAACTCTCTGGCCTATAGAGGAAATCTGGCCTTTTGCCTTTAGCAATTAACCAGCTTTGGAACAAACTGAGCATCGTGAACTGAAAGAAAGCAGCATTATAAGAGGTAAACAACATCACTAGCAACAGTAATAGTTATTGTTAAAAGTTCTTTTAGTCAGGGCTGCAGCTAAAGGAATAAAGCACTGGTCCTTTCAGCTCTGATCGGTTTCATTGGACTGAGATACATTTCAGGACGATACAAGGTAGATGTTTTACTTCTGGCCTCTCTGGTATGACACTCTTCATTAGTGACAACAATAGGAGCAGGGGAAACACAAAAGGAGAACAACAGTAGCATCAGACAACCAATCATGAGGCTCCTTTGCATCTGGAGAATTTGCACGCATCACCACACCAACTGTGTGCCTCATTTACTCCCTCTCCCTGTTCCCGCTAATCGCTGAGCTTTGATCATGTCTCTCAGCACACATTTTGGTTCTTCCCCTGCCGATCTTTATTTCACAGTAAGGTGCTCAGTTAACAAGAAGTGAAAGCTCAATGTTTCAATCATCAGGTACTTTTTTGCTTCTTTCTCCAAGCTTCCCCTGCATGCCTTGACATTTCTCCACTCTTTGTAAGTGACAGAAGACAATGCAGGGAGCAGCCTGCTGAGCTTCCCAATTGTGTCACTTCCAATTAGCCCTTTTGAGACATTTCTGCCCTTTGGCTCACCAGCGTTCAAGTTAAAAGGTCCGAGCAGCGGCACTTATATTGTACCTCGCCTACCTTCACTCTCCCTCCATACAAATTCATACATGTCTGGATTTCTGAGTCAACGATAAAGAAAAATTGCAAGAAAGACGGGCAGGGATTTTTAATCCTATAACCAGAAATAGCTTAAAAGGAGCTCCCCTTACATAAAACTGCACATTTCTGAATAAACCAGCCAGCCTTCACCTTGATCATCCTCCATATTAAACATCATTAATAGTGATGTTCCTAAGTAGCTAAGCCTTATGGAACTAGGATATGGTGTGTTGTGGTGGTCCTCTGTAGGGTAATCCTTCTGAAATACCTGTCAGCTCTGTCAGATGTGCCTTCAACCTGCTTTCCTGTCACATTACTTTTTAAAGCCAAACTGAAGTGATGGGGATTGTAAATAGCAGAGTGGTGAGCCACAGTCTGCAAGCAAACGTTTTCCAGTTAATGAGGGGGCTGGGACACCACGGCTTCTTAAACTAGGGCAGAGAAACTAGCAGCTTCAATGGAAGCGTTCCCTCAGATCTCATGTGCCGGGAGAACACAAGTGCAAAACCAACAGTACACATAAACAAAACTGGTGCCGTGCATAGATGCGCCCACTTACTATAATCAAGCAAACAAATAAAAGACACCTCCATGACCAGAGTTCCAGCAGGTACAAGACTTGGTGCATGTGAATCAAAACCAGAGCAAAAGATCACAAGGACATATTTTGGGCATGCATGTAACCAAAACAAAGTTAATTTCCCCACCAGACCAAAATCTAAAGATATGGAGGGATGCCAAATGTCTGCTGCATATGAAAGAACCACAGTAAGGAAAATTACTGGTCAGAGTAAAATACATCAAGCTGTTGTGAAACTCTAAAACACTGCTCCGAATATTTTTTTTTTCATAAAATTACATGTTGGAGAATATTTACAATATTTGAGTCCAATCCAAGCTTTTTTAAATGGGATGAAAGCTTTACAGGACTGAAAGCCATTCACAAAATGTGCACAATCTACATAGTTGTAGTTAAAGAGAATCTGTAGTTTTTCAATAAAAAGCCAAACATTAAAAAAGCATGTAATCTGGCTATTCGAAACACTCTTGTCCAAGATATCTTCATTCTGCTTGGAGGTACAAGAAAAAACAAAAAAACAAAGTGAACAACACCAAAACATAAACTTACCTCCAACAAATTGGATGCCACCAGCCACCCGGCCAATAGTACGTGAGATAAGGTCAGAGATGCAGCAGCCCATGAGAGCTGTGAGCGCCACCAGCAGGAGAAGGCCACATCCCACGCCCGTCACCACTGTGCAGATCCTCCACTCTAGACTGGGGATGCCGTGGAAGGAGGCATAGCGCCCACACTGCTCCAGCATCACTGTGGCCTGCCTCTCCTCATCCCGTACAGGGTAGGAGCATCGGCGAAATGTGCCAAAGGACACAGGCTTATCCATTTGTGTCCCCAGCAGCCAGTAGGGCATGAAGAAGCCAACACAGGAGGCAGCAGCACATAGCAGGGACAGCAGGGCCCAGATAACACCCGTACATGTCAGACTTGACGCCATGGTAAACAGTCTGCAAATGGTTTACACAGTCACTGGACTAATAGCAGTTATATGAACAGGTGCTGTGTTCTGGGAAACCTTGCAGTGAGCATTTAACACTAGTAGTCTTCACCTTCTCAGTGGCTGCGATTCCCTATCAGGAGGAAGAAAAATAGCCAGACTGAGCAATGACAGAAAAACCATCTGTGAAAACAAGTTACTGGCTTTTTGAGTCATGTGAAAAATCACAATTTGATAAGTTGAAAACTAAAAACCTGCACCTCACTTATTAAGGACTCGGAATAAAACACAAAAACTCAATAACAAGAACCACAGAGATGAAGGAATTCCAGTAAAAGGGTATTACTCATTAACAGACCTGGAATAACAACATGTCAATCAAGTATAGCTTTATGTAATTTTGTGACTGATAGTTGATTAGTTTGATCTGGTTTTCAGTCCTTTAAGACTTAAATGATGACGTTGCATAAACTAAAAGGCATGGTTTAACATTAGGGTTGTTATTCAGTATAGACACAATAAAATTATGATCCAGCCATCCATTATCTATACCACTTATCCTGAGGAGGGTCGCATGGGGTGGGGTGGGGTGGGGCTGGAGCCAACCCCAGCTGACATTGGGCAAGAGGTGGGGTCCACCCTGGACAGGTCTCAAGTCCATCACAGGGCTGACACTTAGAGACAGACAACCACACTTACTCCTATGGGCAATTCAGAGTCGCCAGTCAACAAAAGCTGCATGTGTTTGGACTGTGGGAAGAAGCTGGAGCACTCGGAGATAATCCACGCAGGCACGGGGAGAACATGCAAAGTCAACACAGAAAGGCACCAGGTCGGCCAGGGCTCAAACCTGTGAGGTGACTGCACTAACCACTGCTCCACCATGCTGCCCTAAAGTTTTGATTTTATTAATAAGTAACCGTAACTAACTGGAAATACTAATCAAACTCCACCACATTTTAGTTCAAGTTTGAGAGCAACAACTGTTCTCTACCTTACTATTAGGTCTTCCCCTTTATTTTCATTAGTACAATTAAGACATAATAAGAAAATCTATTAGCTCATGAAATTCAGCATCTTTAAGGCGCACTGAACATGCATAGCAACTAATATATCCCAAAAGGTATTATTACATTTTAAATATAGCTACTAAGAATTTATTTTTAAAGCATTGTCACTCTTCCCTAAAACAACAAAATCATTCCTATAATAAACTTGGAAATGGTGTTATACACACACATCACAGCAAAACTACAAAACAATACAGTATATGTCATTCTGTGTTACTATGGCATCATATGATTATACACATAAAGTCCCGCAAAACCAATTCAAACTAGACATGTCATTTAGGAAACACAATATAAGTTCCTTGAAAAAATAACCACTTCAGAAACATTGTGATTTTTCGATAGGGGTGACCTCGAGGAACACGCTGCATTAACGCAGTGCTCGCACTATCGGAATGTGAACTCTACAAACAAGGCAAAGACGTGGAAAAGGCAGGAGAACGCTTACGTGTTGGCAGACCTCCGGAATAAGGTGCACTCGATGTTGTCCACTCAGAGGTTATTTCCATCCGCGGACTCCAGCTGTGGTAGGTCTCAAAGCAAACTTTTCTTCAGAGGATAAAAGAAAAGGAGTGAGTTCGATCTATGAATGGAAATCCAGAAAGTGAATCCGTTCACAAATCACTTCTTCCTTATCAATATATTTAAGCCGAGAGGATGATCAATTATTCACTCCTGTGCGGTGCAGAAACGTGCGGCGCAGACTGACTGGACTCCAGTTTCCACATTCAAAAAAAAGGAAGGCAGGGGGGGGAGGGAAGAGAGAGAGGGAGAGGGGAGAGAGAGAGATTGGTGGTGCGACTCCATGAAATACTCTCGGGAGGGGACCATCAATCACACAAATCCCCACCCAGGGGCGGGGCTTACCGCTACTATCATTCCTTGCATGCTGCTGATGCATTCACGGATACCTCGTAAACTGTAGTAGATTTGAAACCCATATAAACCTTAGAGGAGTTGAAAGATGAGAGAATTAGTGTGGGACACTACGGCATGTGATACATATTAGTGAATATTTTACTTACAAGTTATTAATATGAATCAATTTCAGATTAATGTTAACTGTTGTGTTTTTGTGTTTTCATATAGTGTAGATATTTGGGGGTTCGTGTTTACTAATGTTATTTAAGGTTAAAAAGGTTTTTGCTTATATTTTGCTGTTTGTCTTGGTGCTCAACCTGGTGAGACAGTATTGAAAATAACCCAACATGTTTTTAGAATCAGTGTATTTTGTACAGCCATAAATACAGTTGGAAAAGTCGAGCTCTAGTTGTGCAATTAATTTAATAGCATAAAGAAACTGAAACATAATGCGACAGAAGTGGAACTTTATATTTCTCTCTATAATGCCTATGTGTGTCCTCATGTGTTAAGATTTACACTAGCCTTTAAACATATTGTACTGTTTATACTATAAATATTTGTGTTTCTATCACCACGTTGCATCTGTTTATATCTCCTTTTAAATGTAAAGCCAATTAAATTTCCATAAACTTTAATGAAATGTTCTCTATAACTACCTTGCCATGTACAAAGCCACGTATGAAAACAGAGCAACATAGCAACTGGAAATAGCACTAGGTTGTGTAATAACATTATATTTATTGAGCTACATTTGTTGGAACATTGTGGTCAAGAAAGGTTTGAAATAGTCTAGTTGGGAAAATAAAAATTACCTCGTTGAGAATTCCCACTACTTTGATAGAAGTGGATACATGTTTTCCTGCTTTCCCACTTTCCTATGTGAGTGTGTGAAGATGGAGGTTAATAGAGAAAATTTGTCTGGGCACACTTTAATTTGCACATCTCTTTAAATTATTATTGCATCTCTCCGATGTTTTAAAAGTCAATCTGCCATTTATGCCAAAGCAAAAGACTGGGTTTAAATGATTCACTTCAGTCCACCCCTCCGTTGTAAAGGCCATCACTATTTAGAAGAGCAATATGCTATAATAGCCTAAGACATTGGAACATAATAATGTGGCTTAATGGCTTTCCAGATGTTTGAAGGGGTATTTAGACTAAAGAGTGTGAGAACATTCTATTTATGTCATATCGTGACTATTATTCCTTGCTGTCCTATTCCCCTTCGGCAAAATAAAATAATTGAGCGGAATGAAATATCCGCCTAGTGGAACGTTGTATCGTTCTCCTCTGGGGATCTACGTGTTGGCCGGATGTCGATTTCAGACGGACCAAAACATCTTTCCGAAAGTTGACGTGGAGGTATTTTTTATTTTTTTTAAACAATGGCAGCTAACAAAGTAGAAATTTCAAGTGATAGCGCCGCTGCAATACAGAATCAAAATGCACATTCCCAGTCTAATAATCCGCTGTCAAGGAAGCTTAATAAAATACTGGAGACGAGGCTTGACAACGATAAGGTGAGTTGAAGGGTCTACGTTAACCTGTCTTCTTGCTAGCTAGCTGTTGCTAAATCTGTAAGCTAGCTGCGTTTTAGCTGAGCACATTTCTGCTCTAAGGTGATATTGTAACTTTCCAATATGCAGTCTTTGGTTGCTCCTCGGTGACAGTGCTAAAACACAGTAACAACGCCAAAAGGTTTATTTTGGATAACAGCATGTTTTCACAGTCGTTCAGACTCTGAACATCAGTAGTAGCTCTCCTCCTAAAAGCACCACCAGGGTGTTTTAGTCCAGGCGGATGAAAAGAAAAATGCAGGTTTTCTCAAAAATGCTCCTGAATGTCATATTCCACGCAGTCTGGGCATTTGTCATAGCACCCCGGCAGACGTCATAATGTGCTTTATGTGCTTTCAGGAGATGCTTGAGGCTTTGAAGGCGCTGTCTGTGTTCTTCACTGAGAACAGTTTGCGCACCAGGAGGAATCTTCGCGGTGATATAGAAAGACGAACCTTGGCAATCAATGAGGACTTTGCACGAATATTTAAAGAAGTAAAAGAGGTAAGTTATATGGCTTTATAAAAAAAAAATGCAGTTTACTAACCTAAAAGCCCACGTTGTCTGCCTCAGTATTGTTTATTACGGCAAACGTAGCATGTGCACCTTTAAATTCCTAACTGTATTGTACAAAACAACATGGACTGGTAACATGAAAAGTTACAGCTTCGATAGTTTACTGGTTCCGCAGATCTTTTGTATACGATGGCATATTAAATGTTGGACGAGAGTTGCAGTTCATAACAATACTGATTGATATTGATTAGAATGTATAGGGTTTCTGGAACATCAGAACCAAAGACCGGAGTGCAGAACTGTTGTGGTAAACCTGTGTTACAGGAGAGTCTTTAAAAGGCTTAAAAAGCATTTATTGCACATTCTTCATAATGGGTTGTATTGAGTGTCAGTCTTATAAGTACAAAAACTGTCAGGAAAATCCCCAGTTCCCATTTACTCCCAACCTCTTGTAAAAATTCCTGTTCAAGCAGACTGCTTCCCTACATGTATTTACAGCATTAGCATACAACAAACTTTAAAATACAGAGATACATCTCTAGATCTGCTTCAGTGCTGCTCTGATTTCACTTTTCCACAGGAGCTAGAAAGTGTTAATGAGGATGTCCAGGCCATGCGGTCATGTTGTGAAGAAATGACCAACAGATTGAAAGTATGGTAATCATCTCTGCATGTCCTTTTAAATTCCCCCTGTATGTATAGAGATTGACAAAAGCTAAATTAATTCACTTAATATGAATTTAACGTGTGATTTATTCAACTTCTTTTTAGAACCTCATGTTTGCAAACCATTTTGTAAATCCGTCCTGTTTTCTTCAACAGGCTGCAAAGGAGAAAACACAAGACCTCACAGTAAAAACCAACAAGCTGCAGGGAGAAAAGTGAGTTCATTCTAAATCGGTAAAAGCTGCATGTGTGTGGATGTTAATCTTGTAACTTGATACATGCATATTTGAAATAATATAGACATGAGACATCAGTGAGGTAATGTCCTTAAGAATAAAACTGCAAACTACTTATTCTAAAGTATCTCCAGACATTTCGAAGAAACCTCACACTGCTATTTCTCCTGTTATCTGTTGTGAAGCTGCAAGTCAATTTGGAAACCACAATTCTACTCTCTCTAGTGTCTTATTTCCATAGAGATATTATCCTGTTTTCAAACAAAAAGTTCTTCAATTAAAGCACGAAGCAGGAACAACATGGTCTTTTCTCTAACTGATAAGCTTTTATTGCACACACGTTCTTTGTGAAGTGAGACCTAGCTGAATGTGAAAGCACTTTCTTCAAGGAGTTGTCTCTTAAGGGATGTCATTCCTCATTAAATTAGAACAAAACACTTCAATTAAACACTGGCCTACAATTAAAAATAACCTTCCTGCTTCCAAATTGAAATGTGCTGTATTCAGTATGACTATTATGGCTGTAGTTTTTAAGATATTTAGCCATTTATGTTTTATGTTGACATGAAAAAACTGACAAGGAAAGACAAATGCACCTTTTGACTTTAAGAGAGAATATGGGATGATTAATACAACCAAGAGACACACTAAAAAGTTGAACACTGCATGTGTGAAATGATGTTAGAGGGGGTTAGTACAAGGCAGGAGGAGCTGGCAAGCATATCTTTGTTTTGGATGAGGAGGTATGAATCATTCATGAAGCTGAATATTTTTCTGGCTGTTGTCTTTTTGCATACGGAGGCCAACAATCATCATTAGTGGAGCTTTATTTGTGATGTCCGGTGATGTTTGGCCTGGGAAAGCACATTGAAGTAGTTCCTGTTTACTCTGCACTGCTCCCTGATCTTATTGAAGCCAGAGTAATGCAAGTGGAGAAGAGTCAATCAGTCTATTCTGTATTTGAGTTTGTGCATTGAGAGCTGCTGATGACACATATTAAGAGCCATCAGATGTGCAGATCAAGTATATATAGTTTACAATGACATGGAATAATGAGTGGAATCAGTGTAGTCACAGCTCTTGAAATAATGATTGAAGGATTTTATTTTTGGTCTAAAATCTGCCAGTGAAATTAAGCAATGAATTTGGCCGATATAGTGTTGACAGGAATGTGAAAACACACCCGCTGCTGTTCGCTGATAGCTTGGGGATGAGGTGGGATTCATTAGAATTTGTGGTGGCTGTGACCTCAGTGATCAGTGACCTTGTCAGATGACATGGATGCAGGGACACGGGAAAAGATAATGTAGATTTCTGGCAAAAGACCCTGCTGACAGATGTGATGTTCCATAGCAATTCCGTGCTGGAAAGGTGACAGGAGGGGACGCAGCAAAATTGAAGAGGAAGGATATGAGCTCTGAATCTGAGAGCAGTGAAAGACACCAGTGGGGGTAAAGCCGCTAGTGAACACAGGCAGGCGATGAATAAATACATTTTGTTTCGCTTTGTGCTCGAGGTCTTGTTAAAAGTAAGTAGCCAGAGGTCGCCTTTTCCTTTACATAGTGGTCCTATGGGGACCTGCTGTCCATCTGTGTGACATTTTCATTTGCAGAACCACAATGACCCTACAGCCAGATGGAATAGTGTCGCATGCTGGGCTTTGACCTTGTCTTTAGCTAGAAGAGCTGCCAGGGAAGTGTGCACTCAAGCTGTCAGCCCACTGCTCCTCACCACTTCAGTCTTCTCAGTCAGATTTATGTCAGGTCACACGATCCTCTGCAATTGCAAACCACTGTCTTTTTTTTTTTAACTTCTCTCCTGTTGACACTTATTGTAGCCACACTAAGATTTGTAGCTTAACACATTTTGCGCCTCGAGGACAGCTTTACTGCAATGGCACATTCATTTTCAAAGCTCTGCAGATGGTCCTGATGTGTATTTACCCGGCTGAGCAAACCTGTCTTGAACTGCTTGCTGTCTTATCTGCCAGTGCCAGTATCATTTGTCAGCTTTAATGAAACGGAGAGGAACAGTGGATGGCTTACAATGTGTAGAAGCAAAGGTGGAAGAGGCGAGCCAATGAGAGTAGTTGACCTGTGTTTGTCTGCCAGCTTTCAGACATACTGCCCTTTTGTTGTGGGCTGGTCCTGTTAAAAGATGCTATCACCAAGGGTACTAAATAGGTGTTGTGTGTTGTTCCCTAATACTACCCACGTGTACTACACTGTGATCTTTTCATTGGTGTGGCATGTTATCATGCTGAGCAGGCTGGGACATCTCGTAGACGGATGTTTCTGTGCACTTTGTGACCTTACGAGCAGCTGGAGCTGAAGGGGTTGGGCTGTTGGTTCAGTTCCCCAATGAACTGCTACAGTAGGCCTACTTGGCTTCACGCCAAAGCATAATGTAGATTCATTTAGTAACAACCACTAAGATTTTACGCAGTAATTCCTGC